GGGGGGGAAGCAGACATAGCTGCATGAAGTGGCTGCCTTTTCGAAAGCACATTTAATCTTTCCTGGCTCCCCTAGGCTTCGATGAATTAGAAGGGAAAGGAGAGGAGAGGGGGAAAGAAAAAATCCAGGCAAGGGAGGCTGTTGAGGGACAGCAAGCATCAGGCTCAAATCAACGACCAGATGAAAATGTACTAGACCACACTGCCCCCTCTCTTCCTCTCGCTCTGTCTCCTTCTCTCTCACACACTCTCACTCCTGGAAAGCTTCAGTGTCTGGTTACAGACTCTTTTGGATCCTTCCCCCCCCTCCCCACCCTCGCCCTTTGCCAACTATCCTAGAGATTCCTTGCATGCCTACTTAAATCTTTAACAGAATAAGGACCCGGCTCCCTCCGCCGCCAGCCCCGCACACACTCACACGCTCACACGCTCACACACACACCCCGCTGCCGGTCACTGTTCCCAATAATCTCTTAAGCTGCCGGCAGGAACCCGCCGGCGCATCCCCGCCGCATCCCCGGCCCCGCCGCATCCCCGCCGGGTACCAGCCCCGGGACCCTCCGGGCAGCCGCTCCCCCCGTCCTCCGCCTCCCTAAAGGGGCGCAGGGGAGGGGATGAAGGGCAAGCGGAGGGGCTGCAGCCCTTCTCCTCGCATCCCCGCGGCTGCCTGTGGATTTTAAAACAATAAAAACCCAGCGCTGGCTCCGCTCTCGCGGGTGCCCCCCGCTCCCCCCCTCCGCCACGCCGCAGCCGCCCGTGGAAATCGCACGCCCCACGCCTGCAGTGAGGCAGGCAGACTGCCTGGCTCATGCCCGTGATGACTTTAGAGCTGACAACCTCCTCTCCTCGACCCCCCCCTTCCCCTTCCCCTCCACACCCACCCCTGCGCTCAATGGCAGCGCTGCTGCCTCTCGCACCAGACTATATTTGCAATATGTGCTAATTTACCAGCTATATGCCCTTGGATTTTAAAATGAACTCATCAGTCAATGTTTCTAGTACCGATGCTCCCTCTCTCTCCCTCACACACACCCTCCACTGCAGACATGTTACTCATTCTCCAAGCATTTCCTCCCCGAATGTCCGTCAGACGCATATACACTTCATTGATCAAACCAAATCCCCTGATAACAATAAATAATAATACAGACAGTTAACATCAGCGGGGAGCGGAGCGGGGGGGCGCGGGGGGCGAGACAAAGATGACGACTAAATCTGCATTGTGCTTTGGGAGCCTGAGCCCTGCCTTTCCCGGGGATGCTCGGCACAATGCGGGGCGCAGGTAGCCCCAAAACCGAGCCCACACCTCGTCCTGGGGCTTTCCCCAGACCCCCCCTGCTTGCCCAGACTCTGGGGATGGTGGTGTCTAATACCTGAATCCACACAGCCTTCCAAAGGTGGTTGGAGGAGCAGAGAAGGTGGTTCTGGCTATGGAGGAGAGGAAGCACCTCACGCAAAATACAGCAATAAATCCGGGCAGTTCCTTTGTTACGCTGAGCACTGCACAGACGCTCAGGAATTAAAGGTATGGGGGCATCCAAAGACACAAGGATTTCCAGGAACACCTTCTCAGCTCCCCCTGAAATCCATTTCCTTTGTATTGAAGGCAGGGAGCACCTATGTAGGAAACCAGGTTGGCAAGAAGAGCTGTTAAACATCCCCCTGTTACGTGTGCTGGGTATTTGAGGGCTTTAGGGCTGCCCTGGCTTTATTTCCCAGTTTTCTGGGGCTGAAACAGGGGAGGCAGGAGATTGGGATTGCCCCTTGGGATTTTGGCTGCTTAGACAGCTTGTGTGGGTCTGGCAAAGAGAAAGTGGCTGCAGTGTGAGTGTTCGGGAAGTTGGGGAGGGTGGGGCTATCTAGAAATCTTTGACTCACTGGGGTAACTCCCTGAGCACAGGAATCAAATTATTGCTCCAAGCAAACTGCATTTTATGAGCAGCAGCCTCAGAATGAAACCCTGCATGCACACAGAGCTGGGGACAGCTAAAAGAAACGCAGGGAAATAAATATCCAGTCCATAATTAAATTATTGGGTGCAATGCAGAAGTCTCTGGGTGATGGAAGAGGTGGGATTATGCAGCAAAGTCAGTCTGGGAATCCACGGATACAAATTTTCTTATTTATACCGACATAATCCTGATTGGCATCAGCCTAGATAGGGGAAGAATCAAACCCCGTGTACTGAAGGATCTAATCTTTGGGAAAAGTAGTCTGGATTAGTGACTGTATCTGCCAGCCATCCTTTCACTGCCTTTAGAGTCCCTCACCACCACTGCAAGATTTTGCCATCACACGGAGCATTTCACATCCATTGTCTCCTCGTCTTCCTTGCCAATAAAAAATGTTTGATTTTTTTTTTTTTCCCAAAGTTTTGTAGCAAACACATAATTTCTTTATACACTTTAGCCAAGCCTTTGGAGGATACTTATTTCAAGCAGTTAACACCTGACCCCAATTTTTGTGGGTAATTAGTGAGCTAGATAACCACACAAAGTGGGTAATTATTTAGTACCCAAGGGTACTGTACGAGAGGGTAGAGGCTGGCGGTGTTAACAAAAGCACATCCCTAATTATTGTATCCATCCTGATGTTTTAAGAATAGTTACTTCCACCTAATGATCCATGATAAATCAGTAAACTCTTCTGCTTCCCTTAGCATGGGATAACCAAGGGCAGGATGGGAGGGCAAAGCCCACGGAAGGCACAACTTCAATTTGTGCGAGCTCCAAAGAGAAAGGAGAGAAATCCCCTCGCTGGAAGTGCCAGGGGACAGCCCGATCACCATCCCTAAAAGGCACCAGGGAAGGCTGGAAAAGCCACGGAGGAAGTTTGTAGGGAATGCCTTAGGGTCAGCTTGTGGCTCAGGTAACGTGGCTGTGCTGATGGATCCTTGTGTGCAACAACAGCAACAACAACAACAACAACAACAACAACAACAACAACAACAACCTCCACCGTGTTCCAACCAAGCTCAGCCTGGCACCTGGAAAATCGCTTTACAGCTCCACAAATGGGCTGTGTTGTGTTTGGGAGAGGTCAGAAATGCCAGGGAGCTGCACTAAGCAGGGGAAAAAAAAAATCAGATTTGATGAGTTTCAATTATCTGTCACAGCCAATATTTGTGTTGCCACAACCACATTTCTCCTATGGAAAACGTTGCATCCTCTGGAGGATTGTCCTCAAATTTAAGAAGGAAGAAATGGGAACTATATTGAACTAGAAACTAAATAAGATTCAGTTGTTAAATCCATACAAACATCCCCAAGGCAGGTGTCAGAGGAGGGTGCCAGACTGGTTTTGGTGACAGGAAAAGGAGCAATGGCCAGAAAAAGTAAAACTCAACAAGTTCCACCTCAGCCTGAGGAAGAAGTTCCTTCCCACGGAGGTGGCAGAGCCCTGAGCTGCCCAGGGAGGTTTTGGATTCTCCCAACCCCACCTGGATGTGTCCCTGTGTCCCAGCTCCAGGTGACCCTGCCTGGTCGGGGGGGCTGTTCTGGGTGATCTCCAGAGCTCCCTTCCCACCCCAAATACTTTGGGACTCTGTGAGAAAAAAAAAAAAAAAAAAATAGTTTTAATCAGCAGCACCAGGTGATAAAGAAGTGTTTGCTGGAAACAAATCCATGACCTGGAGCACAAGAGCCCCATCCCCTGACCACTGCCTGAGCACTTCACACTCACTTAAGGACATCCTCCAAGCAAGACATTATGCTCCGAGGAAAAGCACTTTCCTCTTTTAATTGCTTTTATGAATCACCACCGACATCCAGACACTTCATTTACTGGAGTCCAGCAACCCTGTTTTGCAAACACTCCAATTCCAAAATGTTAAAGGCCTCCAGGCTGGCAAAAATAAAATAAAAATAAAATTAAAAAAAAAAAAATAGAGGTGTCATTCAGTTTGATTTGATCCCAGCTTTACATTTAACTCAACTTGCTGCTCTGGGCCAGGCACTACACAAAAAACCCCACAACTGGCAGCATCACCTGGCCCTGTGACCACCAGGAATTCAAAATTCAAACAGAGAAAGTTTGAGGGGTTTCCACAACTTCTCATATTTCTCTATTGTTCTGTGGTTTGCTGGGTTTGGGGTTTTTTTGGTGTTTTGAGTGAAATAACCACAACTGAAAGAGGCCTGAGAATTGTTCTCATATTTAAAAAGGGGCCAAGTCTCTGCAGTCCATTTATAAATAAATATAAATAAAATTGGTATCCCCTCCACTAATCCTCTCAGGGACATGGTTTGCAGGAAATTCTTGCCGAAATGGAGCGAAAGAAAGTTTGCAGAGAGAAGCTGGAAAACAGAAAGGAAGAATGAATTTAATCATGGAGACAGGATCAAAGGAAGGAGAGACCTTGGTAGGTGCTGTTATAGCAGAAAGTAAATACAAACTATTACAATTTTATTTTTTTTTTCCTCAGATCAATTGGAATTAGCAATTCAAAGGGGGAGACACACAGGAGAGGGGATGTTCAGCCAAGGAGGAAGCTTTAGGGACTTCAGAATTAACTATAAAAACCTTGAGGCCTTTTTGAGACCAGTCAATAACTTCACTCTGAGCAAAGTGGACAGAGATCATTTAGGAAATATCTTTAAAATAATGGTTACAGCTCAGCTGTAAGGACAGCATATATGAGAGTAGTTTCCAAATTAATAAAATGTCTTCAGGGGAGTAAAAAACATTCAGTAATAGAAATTAAGAATTCAAATGATGTGAGGAAAGGTAAAATTCAGAGTGGAAAGCAAAACTGGGGAAAGTTGTCATGACTTGGATATTTCCAGAACGGTGCTCTTGAAAATCAAAAGGTGTTTTGCAGACCAATTCCACACCAAATCACTGATAAAATCAATGCTCTGTTAAAATACAGAACCATCAGGACAACACTTACCCCTTCCCTGGCAGGTTGTGAGTCCTTGGAAGAAGCTGCAGGGTCCAGATTGTTTTTGTCACCCTCATCTGATCCCCTGGTATTCAACAGAGAGGACAGAGAGTGGTTGAGAATTGTCTCAGTCCCATTTCACCACCACCAAATCCTTTTCACCCTCCAAACTTTCCCCTCCCAACCAACAGGTTTGGCCTCCCCCAAGCACTAAAAAGTGCTGGTTGGATTTTCCCCCTAACCCCCAGCTCTGCCAGCAGGTTCTCCTTGAGCTCCAACTCCACCCCTCCCTGGACAATGGGGAAAAATTGAAATAATAAAGGCAGAAAATGACTGAAATAATATAGGTGAGAAAGGATCTTAGGGTGGTAAAGCAAGGGAAAAGGAAAATGAAGCAGTGGGACCCTGCATTGACTGAAACCCAGGATCAGGGAAAAGGGGAGAATTCAACAAAGGTCAGCCAATGTCACAGAGGGATTTGGAGAGAAAGGTTACAAAGATTCATCCAAAATCAGAGGAGTGGGAACACCGTACCCAGAATTTGTGTTTTGTCTCTGGGCAGTTACCAACCCACCCTGATCCCCAGCTCTCCTCCAACAAAATGGATTTAACCAAACTGAAACTCGAGGTGAAACTCCAAGTGACGTGGATGGAGTCACACAAAGAATTATTACATCACTCTGGCAGGATTTGCCAATTCCACCTCACATAAAACACCCAAAGCCCTCAGATCTCACATGGGTTTGGGGCCACCAAAAGTTTAAGACTCAATTAATTCAGAATATTTAAAAAAGCTCCAAGAACCTCACTCTCATTTCAGATAAATCTAACCTGGTTTGGGGATAAAATTTCTTAAGATTTGAGGTTTCACACCAAAATCTGGCAAATTTTGAAATTCAGCAGTTACTAAGAGATGGAGCTGTATGAGTATGTTACTCTACAAAGCTGTCACAAAAAAAAGAAAAAAAAAGAAAAAAAAAAGTCTGGTCAGCATTTAATGCTTTTTAAAACTTTAATTCAAATCCAATAGAATCATTGCATGAAAAGGTGGAGTCCCTCAATCAAATATTTTCTATTTTTTTTTCTTTCTGAAAAAGCCAGTACAAATAATACCTGTTGAGGCCGTTCAATTGGAGATTAAACTGCTGAACCTAAATTCAACTTGGAGAAAGTTTAGGGACATTTTGGGAATCCGAGCTGGCAGGAAAAGTGGAAAAATTAAATTAAAGATCCATGAGACTGAGAGAAGAGCTAGAATGAACAGCATTGCAGTAGGAAAGGAGTGCTGGGGTCACGATGGAAAATAAAGATTGTAATTGCCAGCTTGGAGGGCTGCAGTCCACAGATCAATTCCCATCTCCTCTGCAAATTCACTGTGGACTATTCTCAATCCTTGAGAACGTAACTATTGCACCTAAGAAAGGAGCTGGGACCCTGAGCTTTAATTAATGTGTGGGATGAGCCCTGAGAGCTCAGAGGGACCTGAGGAACCTCGGTGTGCCAGAATTCCCCCAGACCTCCTGTCAGACTCCCCACCCTTCTCACCAGCACTGCTTTCTTTTTAAACACAGGGTGGAATTACTTAAAAGATGAAACAAAGGAAATGTTTCAAACAACAACAACAACAACAAAAAAAATCTTTCCCAGGTTTTCCATTACTACACCTGACACAATTTAAAGAAGAAGAAAAAAACAACAAAACCCAAAACATATTTCTCGCAAGAAAAAAAAAAAAATCATGTTCCAGGCACTGCTTAAGAATGAAACTCAAGGGTAGGACAGCAAAATATTTTCTCCAGCTGGTGGTGGGTGCCAGGCACCATTCCCTGCACAGGGACAGGCAGGAGCTGGCACAGACCCAGGCAGAGGAATCCCAAAGCAGCAGTGAGGATTCCCAGAGCATTCCCAGAGCATTCCCAGAGCATTCCCAGCCCTCCCTGTGCCCCCCGAGACTCTGAGTGTCCCCATCCCTTCCCTGCCTGCTGGATCCACCCAGACTGCAAACTCCTCCAAAGGGGTCTCTGCTCACAGGGGACACTCTGGGATGCTGAAATATTTCTGAGATATTTCGGTGTTGCTGTCAAAGCTCTGGGCTCTCCAGACAGGGAATTCTGCCTGGGGTGGAACTGAGCACGGAGAGATTCACACCCCAGCTCGTGTCCAGCCACTCCACTGGTGCTGGGAGTGGATTAAAAACCAGGCAGCCACGTCTGGAGAGGGATGTGACAGACAGAATGAGTGTCAGGACTTAGGCTGGGCTCAGCAGACACTGCTCAGTGTCTGTGTGCCAGAAATAGCAGCTCCGGGTGCCCCTCTGCTCTTCTGCATGGCTTCACTGCAGGCTCTGCTCCACCCTCAGCTCGCTGCTCCTCCTGCCTATAATGCAAAAGGACAGCCTTAACACTTCCAGGGGATGCAAGGTGGAAAAATCAGGCAGAAAAATCTGAATTTCAGCTTGTTTACTACGATAATAAATCAGGTTACTTAGGATTTTTAATGTGTTGTAATAACGGTCTCAGGTTGATTGCACAAAAATAGTTTTGGATGATAAATCTTATCAATGTTAACTCTGTAAAGCTAAAAATGTGTCAGCACAGAGCCAGTCCATCAGGAACATTTCTTCCCAGTGTGATCCCTGCAATTCCAGCATGAGTGTCTCTGACCAGCTCATTCAGGATCAGTTCCTCTGCCTTTACAACTCCCCTTAGGAGGAACAAGGACCTCTATTTTATAGGCAGGGAACAGAACCAAAGAAAAATAAATGACTCATCCCAGGCCCCACAGGGAGTCCACAGCAGAACTTCTAGGCCTGCACCAAGGGCTTAATAAAGAAAAATAAATGGTTTCACTCTAAAGGTAGAGGCTGTGCATTGCTCCATCAATAATAAAACAAGACAAGCCCCATGAGCTGCACACGAACAAGGGACAAGATGAAAATGAAATCCAAACTCAAGTTACCCACAGGAAACTCCAATTCCCAAAGAAATCCCTCCCAAACCCACCTTTACCTGGGATAATTCAGTAACAACCCCTAATTCTCACTGTGGGACCCACATGGGTGATCCCTGCTCCACGAGGAGCCCAGTGCAGCAGCAGCAGCTCCCAAGCGATTATTTGATCACTTTCCTGCTTTAATTGCCAGTTTTAATTACTTGCATGGCAACAACAAAAAGTCAATCTGGCAACGGAAATCCATTCTTTGAACAACTTCTGCCTCTTCCCTCAGACTCCAAGTATTGCTCTCCAAGCCATTCCTGATTAATAAGGGGCCCTCGTGGGAAAGCCACTGGATTTCATTTCCTTCAGCTGACAGCCCCAAGTCCCTAAAAAAGCAAGGGCAAAAGAACCTTTATTTTATCGTGGCAAGATGACACTGTTCTTCCCCTTGCCATTTTCCTTCAGGAAGATACATTAGCACTACATTTGCTCCTCCATGTGGTGGGATTTCTTAAATAAAAACGTATGTTCTATACGTCTGAGCTTGGAAGCTGCATTAGCCTGTTAACCATCCACGTTTGCTTCAGACTTGGCCAGCCACCTAGAAAACCTGCCAAGACCTCTCTGGCAGCATTTTCCTCACAGTTCCAGGAAAACATGGAATATTCAAAGAATTTCAGGGCCTCCCGGCTTCGTTTGTCACCACTCTCCTTGCCCACTTAGAGCTAAATCACAGGCAAATTGCTCTAATGCCCTATTAAAGATTTAAAAATGGTCTTCTCCAGAGGAGGGTATCTGAGGACAAATCTCTGCTAATATATAATGCAAAAGCCCGGTTCAGATGTGATGCAATGTGGCAGGAGGCAGGGAAGGAGCTGCTTTACAGTCCTGGAGCTTCCCAAGGGAGTTCTGTCCTGGTTGGGGCTTTTAAAGCTCCCTCGTTTACCCAGGAAAAGGAGAGATTGGTTTTGTGCTTGCTGTTATTCCAGAAATGGCTTCAGACTGACAGGGGGCAGGGTTAGATGGGATTTTTGGGGAATAAATTCCTCCCTGTGAGAGTGGGGAGGACCTGGAATGGATTTCCCAGAGAAGCTGGGGCTGCCCCTGGATCCCTGGAAGTGTCCAAGGCCGGGTTGGATGGGACTTGGAGCAGCCCAGGATAGTGGGAGGAGGTGGAATTAAATTATTTTTCCAAGCCAAACCATGCTGGGATTCTGAACCCATTGAGATCTCAGAGTAAGAAACAAAACAAAAACAAAACAAAACAAAACACCAAAACAACAACAACAACAAAACAACAAAAAACACCAAAACAAACAAACCAACCAAACCCCCCCCCAAAAAAAAACCCAAAAAAAAGAATTTACAGCAGAGCTGATCCCTCTTGGGGCTGAAGGCAATGCTGAGTGTCACTGCCACAGCCTGTCCCTGCCTTAGGGACACAGAGGTGACCAAGTGACATCAATCCCATAACCAAAATTCAGAGCAGAATCGCTGGGAATGACACCTGGCAACATTTCCTTTGCAATTTCAGCCAGGAGCCAGCTCCTTTTAAAGAGGAAAATCCTGAGTGAACCAACTCACTCCTGACTAAGAACAAACTGGCCCAGAGAAAAAGGCTTTAAATAATTTGGAGAGGGTTTTTTTCTTACAGAGAATAAAACCTCCCTGTGATTTTGGATGTCAAGCAGACTTTTCTTGATTCCCAGCACTAATTTATGGATTAAACATTTAACCCTTGAGCATGGATTGAGAGTTCCTTGTTGCTGAGAGCTGAGCAATAAACTAAATATTAAAAATGATATAATAGTAGAAATATTCCATCCATATTTTTATACATTATTACCCGTATTTTCTTATATTATAAAGTTATTGTGTTATCTATTAATAATATAAAAATAAATCTGGTATTTCTGAGCAGTGACTTCAATCCAGTGCCTCCAACCAGCCCTGATTCAGCAGCCTCACTACATCACTGGACACTGATTGTATTTTTCCCATTAACACCTCCCCTGGTTCACTCCTCCTATTAATTCAATAATTATTCTCACATGCAAATGAAGGCAAGCACGTGAGTGAACTGTCTCAGGACTCCTAGAAAATCAGTTTCTTTCCCACTCAGAAGGGAAGGGCACTCTCTAAAATCAGCTGTGGATCTGCAGCAGAGAGCAGTGGAGCTTCCCTTCTTCCCTTCCAATTTCCTTCCTGTTTTCCCTTCTTCCCTTCCAATTTCCTTCCTGTTTTCCCTTCTTCAATTTCTTTCTTGTTTCCCCTTCTTCCTTTCCAATTTCCTTCCTGTTTTCCCTTCTTCCTTTCCAATTTCCCTCCTGTTTTCCCTTTCCTTCCAATTTCCTTCCCGTATTCCCTTCTTCCTTTCCAATTTCTATCCTGTCTTCCCTTTTCCTTTCCAATTTCCATCCTGCTTTCCCTCCTTCAATTTCTTTCCTGTTTTCCCTTCTTCCCTTCCAATTTCCCTCTTGTTTTCCTTTCTTCAATTTCCTTCCACCTTTCCCTTCCCTTCCCTTCCAATTTCCTTCCTGCCTTCCCTTCTTCCCTTCCAATTTCCTTCCTGTTTTCCCTTCTTCAATTTCTTTCTTGTTTCCCCTTCTTCCTTTCCAATTTCCCTCCTGTTTTCCCTTTCCTTCCAATTTCCTTCCTGTTTTCCCTTTTCCTTTCCAATTTCTATCCTGTCTTCCCTTTTCCTTTCCAATTTCCATCCTGCTTTCCCTCCTTCAATTTCTTTCCTGTTTCCCCTTCTCCCCTTCCATTTTCCCTCCTGTTTTCCCTTCTCTCCCTGCTCCCTTTTATCCAATCCCACCCTCCCCATGCTCTGTGCAAGGCAATGCAAAGCCGAGGGCCAGCAGAGGCAGTGCCAGGCTGCAGACACCCCTGGGAGCCCCTCTGGGGCTGCTGTTTGTTGTCAGAGGAATTGAGAGGCCACTTCAAACACAAGCAAAACAAACTTCTCACTAAAGCCACATCAGTGCCATTAATCCGGGAATGGGTTTGACCTGCTGTTTGCAGCAATTCCTTAAATCTCACTTAAGCTGGGCAGCACAAAGGGGCTGCCTGCACTCGCCAGGGACTCTGGTGACCCCAAATCTCACAGCAGCCTGAGCTGCTGCACCACCGATCTGCAGCCAGGATGGCTTGGGAGGGACCTCACACGGAAAAGGGGGTGGGAAAGCACAGCCAGGTGTGACCCTGAAGCTTCTACGACTTGTGGTCATGCCAGGCTTAGAGGAAATTCGTTTCTTGAGGAGGAAAAAGGCCACAGCCCATGTTCAGGTGCAGATCTGTGGCCTGGATTTTGTACCAGCATCCAGTGATGCTCGGCCTTGGATTCACTCCCTCTCCTCTGCTCTCATTTGCACTGGACAGGAATTGCTCAGTGGCACACATTTGAATAATTGCCACGAACACTGAGCTCTGCACTCGCTCAGCCTGTGAGAAGGACAAACCTCCATCCCCACTGGGAAATTCTGTGCTCAGTCCTTTGGAGGAGCCATCCATGGACTGGGCCACTCTCCAGACTTCCCCAACATTTCCCCCCAGTAGTGACCAGAATTAGCAGCTCTGGGCAGCCCAGATCTGCCCTTCCCACTGGATTTTCCCTGCTCTTGACTTGCTGCTTTTCATCCCAAACCTTATGGATGAAACCCAAACCTAAGCCCAGGTCCAAAGTTATTACAGTGAACGCCCAGAATTCTGTGTATGGTTATTAAAAACATAAGCAACTAATCTGTTCTGGACTTGAAAAGTTCCCATTAACTTCCAAAAGCAATTAGATTCCTTTTTTTTGTTTGTTTGTTTTCATTAAATACTGGTGGAAAAAGAATTGCTTTATAAAACAGCTTCAATTTGTCACTATTTAATTTCACTACACATTTCCTTGCACTCACTTTGTGAAACTGAGAGATTCCCAATCTCCCTCCTCATCCTTTCTTTCCCTCAGAACATCCATTTGGTTTTCTCCTTTCTGATGGGAATGGTTCAGTGCATTCATTTCAGATTTATCTCTGCTTTTTGCTGGCACCTTTTTAGCCACTTTTTGTCCTCTCAGATTTGGTGCAACAGCTCCTGTGCCATCTTATTTAGATCCAAAAATTTCCCTTTAGTGTTGAGCAAGGGTTCATCCACTCCCATTTTATAAGGGAAACGAGGCCTAAAATGCTCATAAAAACTAAAATTCATAGAATTCATGAATTATAAATCTACTGCATATAAGAAAAACAAGCAGAAAAGTCTGGTTGCCCATCAAGAATTCAATGATTCTTAAAAAGGGTCTGGAGTGGAGGTGATGGGAAGGAGGAGCCACTGCTTATAAGACAGAAGGAAGAATTTCAATTTCTTTCCATGTCTGCCCCAGAAACCTGATTCTTGAACTTATTTCACCAGGAAACAAGGCCATGACATTGCACAAAGAGGCTCATTTCACCCTATAGCATGTACAGATTATTTGCTCGGGGAGAATCCATTTTATATTTTATATACAAATCTAAATATATGCAAGTGGGACTGCCTGGAGCAGCAGCAGAGTCAGGGCAAGCAAGAATTTTGTCTTATTTAAAGAGCAATTTGAAAGAAAGGAGGGGGGGCTGTATTCCCAAATATTTTGGATTTTCCTCTGCTATGGGAAATTTCCAGACATGAGATTTCTTCTCTGCTTTTATTGCTGAAACCCTGCTAGTCCAACACCTCAATTAGGAGTTTGTCCCTGAGTGAACACAAAATTTATCCCAAAAACTCACTCTGGAAATGCTGAACTTGGTTTCACATCTAAATCCCCAGGCTATGAAGAGGGACAAGTGGGAATGAGAAGGAAAAATCTGGTTAAAAGAGAGAAATGTGAATTCCCATCTCTGCTGTGACCTCGGACTGTTCATTTCCAAATCCTGAGCTGCCCCACACCAGCTCATCCTTTCACTGAGAATTGCAGTCGAGGTCCCCATCTCACTGTGTCCCTTACAGATGGAAATTTTCTATTTTTAAACTCCAACACACAGAGAGCGGAGTTCCCTCTCCTGGCATCCCCAGGAGCAGAATTTCTGAGGCTGGGGAATGAAATTGTCTCATTTTTAACTTCTTTTTAACTGTCTGATCAGCTTTCAGGCAGTGTCAGGATCCAGATTAATTCATGCAGAACCCCATCATCATCATCATCATCATCATCATTTAGCTCCCAAGGTTGCTGTGCTTGGAATTCCAGTTATGACAGGAATTCTATACATATGACACAGATTTAGAAATGGCATCAATGGAACACTTAGGGCCTTATTCATTAAACAATGAGTCATTCTGGCATTCCACTCCATCTCATCCCAGTCCTTACAGAACTTTCATGCACACATTTCACTCTGCTTAATGCATCTGATTGAGGAGGGTGGCAGCAGAGTTTCAGCTGGGTGTGAAAATAGATGGAACTCACTGGTTAAAAACAAAAATTTAAAAAAAAAAATTTTAAAAAAAGAAAGAATCCCTCTAATGATGAAAGTTTCATCTTTCACCAGCATCAGAGCCGTGTGAGAACAGAGAAGCAAAAGAAAATTCTGCCATGAGCACTGCTGTGAGGATTTTCTTGCTGTCCAGCAAGCCAGAAGAATAAAATATTTCAGAATGCAACACTTGAGTAGCAATTCTGGGCAGATAATTTCAGTGGTGCTCTACAAGAGGCTTAAAAGCTTCCCTTAATATGCACTTTACAACTGTGGCAAACTAATGATGGTGCAAGACCACAAAATATTTCCCAAATCATTCCCCTAATGACCTAAAGCATTCAGATGGGCTGGTTGTATTTTCTGTGTGTCATTTAAATGAGGATTGAGTCGAAAATTAAAGATTAAGCCAGAGCAAGAGCTGTCACCTGTCTCTCAGGAAAGCACCTGTATTACCAACAGTGCAGAATGCCTACACAGCAAATACAGGATGATTTTTGAGTCAATATTCACTCAATCTAGGCAGAGCACATCCAAATATTGGGTTTTACCACGCTCTAGCAGCTGGAATACAAAGTTTTTAAGGATCCACTGGTTCCCAGCCTGTGGGAGTTTGAGCTGTTGTCATTCAATCCAGGTAAACTGGGAAGTGCTACAAAATAACTTGGAATTTTTTAATGGAGAGATCTCAGCACAAATGATTATTTTACCTTCTCTTTGTCCTTCCAACCTCCTTCCTGCCTGCTGGATGCATGGCTGGGATTTCTGGGCGTGTGGTTGGGATTTTGGGATGCACGGCTGGAATTTCTGCAATTCCTGCAAGGCTGGAGCAGAACACCCGTGGAAGTCACTGCTCTTCTGTCAGGTCTGACTGGGATTGGAAAAGAATCTCAGAAGTTGTTGGGGAGAAGGAAGGCACAGAGACACAACTGCACATGAGGCAAAGGAGCTGCTCTCTCATTGGAAACCACCCCAAGACCTCACCATTCCTTGGATTTTTGCAGTTTCCCTCATTACACGGGTAAGCATCAGCGCCTCGTTTTGATCTTTATCCCCAAAAAGTCCCAGGAAATTTGGACTCCACCTCCCCACACTGGCTTGGGCATTGTCTCCCAAGCCCTCCCCATGGCAAGGAGAGTTCCATGTCCAGGCTGAGCAGGGATGGGAGTGGACAGTGCCATCTCCTCTCCATGAATTCCCAACCCAGGCTGATTCTGCTCCTTCACTTCACGTTGAGGGAGCCAAGGCAAGGACAGAGTTTACATTTCCCTATCGCAGGACAAACACTTCTCTGGGAGGTGCATTGTTTCTTTTGCATTTCACATTCCAGTGGAAACATTCCCTGAAAAACAGTTGCTATCTCCCTGGCCATGCAGGGGCTGAAGTGAATAAAATCTGGGAATGGAACCCAAGGAAAACAGGACACTTTTGTGCCTTCCCTGCTCAAACCGAGCGAGACAAAACCAGCAATTAAAGGCAGAGCTCAGGGCGAGCCACCTTCCTTTTTTGCTTCCTCCTCTCCTCATTTACAGCTCCTGAGTTGTTCCTTTCCTCGTTTCAAAAGGTCCATAACTGTAACACTGCCACGTTCTCCTGGAAATCTACTTAAATGGCACATGATGGAAGCCATATGATAGGAGCTTAATTACATAGAGGGCATATGGAAGGCATATGACATAAGGACATATGGAAGGCATATGATGGAAGGGCATCCGAGGACATATGATGGGAGTCTAATTAATTGACAATACATTCCTCTCATCAGGGGGAGAGCTGGAATGCTGTTTTGTTCAGAGGAAAAATATGCACATTGAATTATGCTCACCACTGACCATTCTCCTTTTTAATTACGATTCCTCGGGTTTTGGAGCGGGGTGGATCTTTTCATTTACATCTCATGGCATTAATATAAAGTTGTGTTTGACAGGATTATTCTAAATAATCACTGGTTTTTGAACCTCCTGATGTTTTGAGTGTGCAGAGCAAATCTGAAATGTTACCACCAAAAAAAAAAAAGAGCCTGTTCTTACTTGGGATTATTCATGAAACTGCTCCTAGAGAAGTCCTAAATAGGTTAAAAAAACCACCAAAAAAAAAAAAAGAAAAAAAAAGAGACAGTTCTTATTTGGGATTATTCACAAAGCTGCTCCTAGAAAAGTCCCAACCAGGTTAAAAAAAACACCAAAGAGAAAAAAAAAGAAAAAAAGAAGAGTGTGTTCTTATTTGGGATTATTCACAAAGTTGCTCCTAAAGAAGTCCTAAACAGGTTAAAAAAACCCCAACTTTCATGGAATAAAAAACCTCTGCATTGGATGGGAATCAATGCAGCTGAAAATTTGCACTTCCATCTGCAAAAAAGATTTATGGGGGGGAAATAAGGTAGTGCCTAGAACGTGCCAAGAAGATTCCTCATTTTTTAACTACCTGCATGTGTTTGGGGCATGTGCCTTCCTGAAACACAGAGGCAGCCTTGTGTTCTCCCACATCCTTTCCTTGTCCTGAGGAGCTGCAGAGCTATAAACCACGGCACTGGTACCTGTAACCTCTCTGAAAGCAAGTTGGGATAAAATCCCATTAATCCACTCTTGGAACAACTCAAAAGTGAGCCCTGAGTAACCCTCACAGCTTCTCTTTGCATTCAGCAAACAGGGATTTGCAGATATTCAAGTTTTTAAGGGCCATTTTACCAGAAAAAAAAACAACCAAACAACAATTTCTGGATTATTTAGACACCTTGAAACATCATTATCATGTTCACACTTTCAGATTAACCCAATGAAATGAACCCAGCGCCTGCTCTTTATTTTTATTCACTAACTGAACAAGTTTTTAGGAAGGGACAGAGCCTCTTATTTCTGGGAACTCAGAAAACCTTGCCAGAATTACTCATAGAGAGTGAAAAGATCTAAGTTCAGGTCCTGGGCCCTGACCAAGGGTTGTGGCCACCACCTTCACCCAGGCCCCCAGAGGACCTGAACCCTGAGTGCTGCCAACATCAAAATGTTCACTTTTCTCTTCCAACTTTAGGAGAGTTTCAAGGGTTTTTCAGGTCTCCAATATTCAGGCAAATGAAACCATTTTTCAGGATTTCAGGAGCAGCTGGGTGAATTGGATGCTCCCAATTTTGCATTTCAGACCTGTAACACACATCAGAAATGTGGGTTTTTTTTTTTTTTTGTCCCACAGCTTCTCCACAACATTTGGGGTGTTCCCCCAGCTCCTTCATCCCAACTGCTGGGAGGGAGAAGCAAACCAGCTCTGCTTTGAAACACCCAACTTTAATATCCAAAAACCCCTAAAAAAAAAAATCCCTATTTTAGCTGAATGTATTCCCCACTGGATATTCCCAAGGGGCAGCTCTCCTGAGGGCTCTGTAGATTTAGGTACTTTCACCAAAACCCTGCAAGGCTTTATCTGGAAACATCAGCCTGGTTTAACTCCCAGTGTAGAATTAACTGAGCCAGTCAAAGACTAATGGAAAGGGGGGGAAAAAAAAAAACAAACCAAAACACAGGATATTTTTACCTTTGGAGACTTCTGCTTGCTGACCACAAAGGCAAGAACACTGAGAGGTTGCCATGGTGCTTTTTGGGAATGTTAACACCGTGCTTGCTGCTCGAGGGCTAATGAAGGAAGACAAACATCACTGGATTTGCTAAAAACTCAACAACACAGCACCAACAAATAGAAAAAAAAAAAACAAAAAAAAAACCCGCTTATAAAATGATCATTTGGATAATTCTAGTGGGGCAGAAGGAAATAAAGAGGTTTTCCAGCTTGTCTTACCTGCTCTTTCCTGTTCCACGTGTCCAGAGCAAAGAGTGCTGAGGATTTATGGTCGCTGCTGACGCCGGTGTGTGCAAGACCCAAGGAAAGCTAGGAGGTTGTACAGTTATCTCCCTTGGTGTAATTCTAAACTATACAACCTACTACCTCAACCTGGATGCATGCAGTCAAAAAGTCATAATCTCAGGGGCTTCTACTTCCCAAAAAAAAAAAAAAAAAAAAAAATAGGCCTCCAAATCCTCTGTGGTTTAATTTAGAGGGAATAAACTGCTGGGGGAAAGACATCAACACCAAATTCAGCTCCCCACGATGGAAATGTGGTAAGACACAACAAGCCAGGGTTATTATCCTGCTGGATTTGGTCAAGGTCATGGAGGTTTTCACACATGATGGAATTTTTTTCCCTGGCCAAAATAAAGGTGTTCCCCTTCCCCAGCAAATTCAGAGCATACAGAGACTTTTGGAAAAAAGTATTTAAAGAAGGCTTAGGGTGAAAATTTGTCCTGACACGTCTTTTCCTTTCTGAACACACCACGCTGACCTCAACCACGTGCCTTGGCTCCTGGATGTTTGAAAGATGTGCAGGAATGGGAGTGGGAGAGAACTGCACAAGGGGGACAAATCCTGAGGTGAATTTACCCCTTGCACCAAAGAGTTCAAATGAACATTCTGGAAAAGCAGCACAGAGCCTCCCTCAGCAGCCAGCCACGTTCCCTCCACAAGAAACACGTTTTTAATTTTTAATTCCCAGCCAAACAAGCAGGATGTTATCCTTGTGACTCACCCCAGCACCCACCAAGGTAGCACTTAAAGCAGCAGGCTGCTGGTTTTTATTACTATTATTATTATTATAATTATTATTATTATTAATAATAATATTATTATTATTATCCCCAAATGTGCTGGTGGGGCAGGAGCAGGGCTGGGATGCTGCCCCTCAGGTGAATCCAGCCCCTGGAAAGGGATTCCATGGAAATCAAACCTCAGGAATGAATGCTGAGCTCTGCTGAATGCACGTGCTGCTCAGCTTTCCCAGGATAAGGCAGAACTGCTGATGGTGGGAAAGGAACTGCCCTGACTTTACACCTCAATCCTGGCAGGAAATAAAGGAGGAAGATGGGAAACAGCATCACTGTTCAGAATTGAGCCTGCCACAGCAGCAGAATACCTAGGAAGAAATGCAAAATAATCTTCCTGCAATGTCTGAGTGCCCAGGGTGTTGATGGTATCCCAATTTCAAATGATTCCAAATTTGGTAAAGTTTACTTGGACCAAAGAGTGGAAATCCAGTATATTTTAGTTAACAGCACAGAGCAGAGTCACTGTCAGCTTTGTGATTAGTTAGAGCAGTGACCAAAGCACAGCCCTGGATAAGGAAACCACAGATCCTGGCCCTGTGCTCCCAGCAGCAGCTTTATCCTTGTCTAAAAGCATCCTGACACAACTCCTCGATGAACCACCATCATTTCTCCAACATGAAATCCAATTATTTACCTCAAGTACTGTTATGGGAGGGAGTGAACCTGAGTGCTGAGTTAGGCTGATGGAAAATCCCAAATCCTACCCAGTCTCTGGGTCACACAAATTCCCACTCAGACTTCCAAAAACAACCTGTTCCACATTTTGCAGCTATAAACGACAACATTTCAGCATCACACAGGTAAACCACTCGTTTTCTGCAACTTATCCCTGCAAGTATTTTTCTGTATCTCAATCTTGTAATACCTAACATCCCATGATTGAAAATTTATAAATTATTACCCATATTGATCAGTTTAATGAGAAGATGCTGTTACCACTGAGACTGACACAGGCACCCCTTGCACACCAGGTATTTAAAAGTTGAGCTGAGCAAAAAAAAAGAAAAACTCTCCAATAATTTGCTCTAAAATGGAAGGCAGAGAGGGTTTTGTTTCATTTGTATACTCAACTCAGCAAAGGTCTTTTCATGGATAAATTACAATAATAAATTCCTTACTTTAGATTTAAGCCAAAATAACCTAAATTTTTCTCAGGTAGGCCAATGCTAACAACTCCCTACCTCTCCTTGCTGCTCTTCCATCTCCACAAAGAGACTTCAAGAACTTTCTAAACACCAGAAAAAAATTTCTGTCCCAAGCTTTAAGACCTAAATCACCCTCTGGGGTCAACTTTTAGACACCTCCCCATCCTGCTGCATAAATTATCCTGAAATTTCCCCCATTTATGGCATCATCACCCACTACAGGTGTTTTGTTCCCCCAAAGCTTGGACAGCTGGAAGTGCATTTGCATCCCAGAGGAACTGCAATTAACAGGAGGAAAAAGTGCAGGGCTTTGAGAGTCGTGCTGTCACTTGGAATATCTGTTGGTAACAAGGACAGGAAGCCCAGGGTTTAGGAATTGAGATAAAATCAAAGCAGGAGCAGCCTCATTGCCACCACTGGTGTCCCTTGGTGTCCCCTCCTTGTGCCTGGCTCTGGGATCACAGCACTGGTGACACTTCCCCGTGTTTGTTTTCTGGTGATTTTTGTCAATTATGTCTTTACCCAATTAGCACAATCATACCTAATTACGCAATTAGGGCGAGTCTGTACCCTAATGGCAATGTTCAGCTGGGATAGGTTATCCATGTCAGGAAGTTCCTGTTGGATTTGTGGAGCTCTGTGTTCCTAACCCAGCTCGTGGGGCCCCAGTGCCTTTTGTCTGGGACCCCTTTTAGGCCTCTTGCTGCTTCAGAATCCCAGAAATGATTTCACACTTCTGGGGACAAAAGGGAATCTCTGGCCCAGCTCAGCCCAGCCTTATTTTAAAGCTGCAGTGTAATTAAAAAATTGTGTCTTTCCACTGTTAGTGACTCCTGAAGGGAACGTGACTCCAACTGCTGTCCTACCACAGAAATGCTGGGATTCACATCCACTGAAGATTTCTTTTCAAAAAGAGAGACAATGCCACTGGAGCAGCTCCTCTCAGGATTTCCAGCTCTGAAGTTCCCACCTGCCCATGGCCCCGACCTCAGGAGACACCAGCTCTGAGCTTTAGTCTGGACTGGGAAGTTTTCACTCATCACTGGTTTTATTCCCTGTTCTCTTCACAGGCTTCAGGTGAGAGAAAAATTCACAAACCTGCTCCCCCTACCCACATTTCCTATTGAATTTCCCCAAGAGTGAGGTGAGAATCCCAACCCAGAGCTGATTTTTGGGAAGTGCCTGGTTGGAATATCCCATTCTTTCCAAACACCCTTCAGTGTAAAGCAGTGATTCAGTCACACAGAAAAGCAGGGGTTGCAGAGGGCAGAATATTCCCAAATCATGACATAAAACAGTGCCTCATGCATGAATCCCCTGCACTAAATCACACTTTATATGCATTTACAGACCTACTGACTTTGAACAGGGCCCCAGCAATGGACATTCACTACAGATGGTCAAGGAAGCTGAATTTTGTCTCATTATAATCAGGAAAATCATCAAGCTGAGGTCTGGCTCTGAATCTTTCAGGCTGTGAAAGATGCAGAAGAAGGAAGAACCCACCTTCCCTCTCACATCCCAGGCAGGGCTTGCCAAGGAGGGGGTGGGAAAGCAGAAAATACTCCCAAAGCAAATGCATTTCCTTAAGTCATTGAGCAAAAAATAAATACAAAAAAACCCACAAAAGCCATCAGTTCCAGTTGGAGGGCTGAGATCCCGTTTGCCAAATTTCAGCCTGGAGTGGTTTTTTTGGGTTTTTTTTTAGCAGATTTTCATAAACCTCAGACAGGAGGGGGTTTCACACTGGAAATGCTGACACGATTCCTGCTGGTCACCTCACTCCTGCAGCTGGATTTGGTGAAACTTTATTAGAAATTTGGTTGTAATGAGGAACCTCAAGGGGTTCAAAGGTTTAGAATTCTGGCAAACACACTGAAAAGGGCTGCAAAGTAGGGAAAGAAGCCTCATCTGGGCTCAGCTGAAATCCACAGCAAGTAAATATTTTGAAAGCTCTCCAAAATTTTTCAACGCATGACAAAAACCGTGCCTCAACTTTTCGCCAGGCTTGCAGCAATCTGAAGGTTTGCTCAATATTCCATTTCAATCTCTGGGCCTTTCTAGGGGAAGGGTGGCCAGGCTCTCACTCCTGAACCAAACGTGGCTTTGGAGAGGAGCTGGAGCATCAGCTCTGGGTGAGACAACAAAATTCAAACACCCTGTGCTGGATCTGAGGGGAGAAGGTGGCACAAGTATTAAGTGCTGATGACTCTAAATGACCACAAAATACTTTTTTGGGAATTTTTTTAGCTTATCCCAGGCCTGCTTTGTGACTGAAACCCTGCACAGCATGATGTGGACCTGGAGCCAAGGCTGGTTTCACCTGCATGCTGAAAAATGAAGGAACTGACAGGAATCTGAACCAAAAACTTCCAGGGTGGATTTCTGGGGCTGAATTTCACCGTGAACCTGCAAAAATACAACCAGAGCTCCCCCCCAGCCCAGCTGGAGCACTTCCAGCCCAGGGAATGCCACTCCTGGAATTCTCCTGAGCCATGGAGCACTCCATGGCTCAAGGGAAGGTGTCCAAGTCCAGGATCCCTCCCCTAAAAATCCTCTCCTTATTTTCTCCCTTATTTCCTCCCTTACTGATTAGAAGCAAATAAACAAAAAGAGAGGGAGGAGGGGGGGGAAAAAAAAAAATCAGATTACTGAAATAACCAGAATACTGAAATTTATCTGCCTTTTAAGAGTTTAACCAGATTTGATTATCTGAATAAGAGTATTTGGATACGGTTCAAATTCCAGGGTACACAATTCCATTCTGCTTATCACGAATCCCATTTGCCACTGCATATGGTTATTCTAATTACCCGAGTGCTATTGTGTGCTCCTCTGCTCACAAGGGCTCACTGTGCTCCTCACCAGGCTGGGAAAGGAGGGAACTCAACAAATAAATTCCTTTTTCATCCCTCAGTGGGGACCACGAGACATCCTTGTCTGCAGGAGACCTTACAGGTGCTCTCAGGCAGCAACAGGAGTGAGAAATGGTTGCAATATTTTGAGGGAGAAAAAGATGATTTACCAAATATTACATTTTTTTTTAAAAAATAAGGAGGAGATTTGGGAAAGCTTTGCTTCCTCAGAGAAGAACTTCTGCTGCTTTCAACTCTAACCCTGGCCAAAGGGAACAAGCACAGCAAAACTCCCCAGAGGCAGATGCAGCCACACAGGAGATTTTTTTTTTTTTTTGGTCTCTAAAGCAGCCACCCTGCCCGTTTCCAGAGAAAGGAGCTGCATTAATTAAGGGACTGATTTTTGGAGAGGATATTGGGACATTTTGGGGTAATTCCCAAGTCCAGGTGTTCTGGTTTGAATCCTTCCATGCCTTTAAGTCCCCCTGCAGCCTCCAGGTGGGTGAAGGGCTCTGACAGGTGAAGGGAGCTCTGGATGGCACCTGCATCAAAGCTGCTGCACAAATGCAAACTCCTTATCCACAATGGGAGGGGAAAATAATAATAAAAATTTTAAAAATCCACATTGTAAGAAGTGCTCAGGTAGGAGCTGCACAGACTCCAATTATTCTCCTCCATCCTAAAAGCAAGACACATTTCAAGGTTCTTCACATCATTTTGTCAGGCTCCAGTTTTCACTGGAGAACTTAATGAAGTGCAGTGGAACACAAGCAGCAGGAGCAAAGAAATACAAATTAAGGCTGGAAACACAATGCAGGGCTTTTGAAAAAGCTGGAAAAACAAAGGGGCAGGGGCAGAACACGGGAGGCTGCAGCTAAAAAAGAACAGGGGGGCAGTTGAGCAGGATTGGAGCTGAAATGCATTTTTAAATCAGTAAGAACAGGAAGATCAGTAAGTTTGGTGGGGTTTATTGGATAAGCTGAGCTCACAGAAGCTGTGCTGCTGCTGGTGCTGCACAAGTCAGGAGCCTGCAAGAGGCTTCCATGGACCTGTCCCACAAAGCTGAGGCCACAGCATCCCCAAACCCAGCCCAGAAATCCAGGAGCAATCAGCAAACATGCTCAGCCTCAGAAATAACTCCCTCCTCCCACAGGGCCTGCAGTTCACCCCACTTCTGCTGCCACTTCTCTAAAGTTTCCTTTCTGAGCACCCAGCTGTGTTTAGACCAAGCCTCTCGCCAAAAGGAGGTAAAAAAAAAAAATAAAAAAATCAGATATTGAGTAGCAGGTCTCAACATATTCAGAGAGAAATTGAACTGAAATATTTTAGAGAGAAGAAAAAAGAAATAGATCTGTTTTTTCTTTCCTCTTTTATGATTCAAGTATTGATTTCCTAATGAAAAAAAAAACAAACCAACAAACCAAATGGTGGTAGCTCATTTTGGGACATTATCTGACCCAATTCCCCTGCCAGGGGTCTTTTGGCACTCTCCAAGCAATGTCACCTGAAGTGCCACAAAATCCAAGACAAATTCCAGGCTTTTCTCAGCCCATTCTACCACAAATGGCTTTAGAGGGGAGAGACTACCCGACAGAAATATGGATTTTATTGGGTTTTACCAGCTCCTTTCTCCTTGGAGCTCAGACTAAACCAGCCCATGCTTCCCTTGGAGCCAGCACGGGGGAATCCAACACCATGAACATTCACAGCATTTAAAAAAACCAACCCCAAACCAGCACAGATTATTCACAGATCTTCTTGGAAAAGCAATTTTTGCTGTCACAACCTCCTCCTGCTTCCACAGTGAGCCCCTGCTCATCCCATCATGGATGGAACAGTGTCCACCCTCCAAATCCCAAAGGAGACCTTGACTCCAGCTCCCTGCTCTGTGTAAAATCCCACCACAGAACAGTCCAGGAGCAAAAGTTCTGCTGGAAATAACTCATCAGCTTTTATTCCTTGATTTCCCATCCAAACATTTGGGGAATATTGAGGATCAGATTTTATACCCAACTTTACATCACACAGGATGCCAAAATGCAATTTTATCCCTTTTTTTTAAACCTAGTTTCAACTCAGAGGGAGAAAGAAGAGTGGTTGGACTTCTCTGACTTCATTTTAATATAATAAATAGAAAACTTCTACAATAAATAGCAAACACATAGAAAACCCTGGAAATTCAGCAAAGAGGGGAAAAAAAAATTTGGCCTACAGCAGCATGTGTCAAAGCAGCCAAGTTCAAACCCAGAGAAATTTAAAAGTGGAAATGCAGAGCAAATCTTTGGTGGAATTAACACTGAAAGCTGCTGGAAAGAAATAGTCAGATTTTATTTTGAGTTTACAGCCTAATTATTTTCATATAGAATCTGTACATTGGGGTTTTAAAAAATGACTTCTTCAAAAAGAATTGTTCCACTCTCCCAACTTTAAAGGTTACTTTTCCACAGCAAGCTTTGCACTGCCTGCTTCCATGGCTTTTTCCTGCCCTATCACTTCTTTTGGACTTTCCAGCATGATTATTTTCTCTGAAAAACCATTTGAAAAGACACAAATACCATGAAATTGGGAGGAATGGGATGCTATAATAAACTGATTTTTGAGAGAGGAGTTGGAGGGCCAAGCCCCTCCTGTCAGAGAAGAGATTCCAAGTTCCTGGATATAAAGGAGGAGAAGTGATTGTTCCTCTCACAAACTGCTGGACTAAGCAAGGAAAGAACAGCTCCATGTTACTTTAGAAATGAAATTATTTTATCAGTTTCAGAATTAACACAAGGATTCTCCCTGATCACATCCCCGTCACCAGAGCAGGGCAGGATGTGGATGGGATTTCATTTCTTCAGCCTGATGTGAAATAAACTCCCCCCATCCCCTTTTCCTCAGCACCAACCAAGCAAACAACCCTTAGCACGAGGGGATCTGAAAACTGAAAGAGCTGAAAGCTGAGCTGATAATTGCAGCTCCACTTTTCTATTCCTCTAAATAAAATTAAAAAAAAAAGAATGAAAGAGGGGAAAAAAGGAGGAAAGAGTGAAGAATATTTGGAGGTGAAGTGCAGCAGCACCCCAGTGTGCACTTGCCAGCCAGCACAGACCTATAGATACAAGCTTGTGTGGAATATGAGCACAAGTTCGGATCTACGGGTTTGTGGCAGCAGGCAGGGATTTCTGCTGCCACTGCCAGGGTTTGGGGTCACTTTTAGGGGGGGGTGGAAAGAGGAAAAGCCTTTCTGCAAATGGAATTTGTGAGTTTTACACCACCAGGAGCCTTCGTTCTCTCAGCACCTTAAAGGGTGGGGTCAGAGTGGATTATTGATTTTGTTCTGACATAAAGCCACAGATTCCTCCATGCCCATGGGAGCTTTAAGAAAATCAGCAAAATAAAATCAAATAAAAATGTTAAACCAACCAAAATAAAGGTGATCTGTGTTTCTTCCTCACAAGCACTTTGCTGGACAGAATTTCTGGTGATTACACAGTACTGAGGTTATTGAATCAACAAGCAGCACTGGAGGTGTATCACTGGAACAGGGTAGGAAATGATCCAACAGCAAAATTCGGGGATATAAACAGAATTCCAATACACAGCCATCCCCCCCACCCTGCAAAAAGTTGTTTCCATTCTGGCAGCCTGGCTGAAGCAGGCAGAAGGAAAAACTGTGTGAGAGTTGTTTTAACTTTCAGAGAAGTCATTGCTGGGCTGCGGCTCTACTTTAATTTTATTTCTAAAGGCAAAAAAACAAAACCCCTGTCACTCTGCTAAACAAGCTGGAAATTCCCCCTAACCCCAGCTCTGCATTTCTTCCACACAGACAAATATAAAAATTCTTTAGGATTTTTCTAATAAAGCCTGAAAAGCAAAGTTTTGTCACCGCAAGCAGGAGGCGTCCCCTCCTTCCCCTGAGGTCTCCAAGTTTTCTTTCCTGCATGTGGAATATTTCCCATTTTATTGGTGGGGTTTTCTTTCCTGCATGTGGAATATTTCCCATTTTATTGGTGGGGTTTTCTTTCCTGCATGTGGAATATTTCCCATTTTATTGGTGGAGAATCAGCCTGGAGAGCAGCCTGGCTGTGAGCTCCACATGGGGCTGGTGGAGAAAATCACTGAGCTCAACTCTGGCTCAAAGTGTCACCAATTTTTCACTTCTTTCAGGAGACAAACCATATTAATGCAAGTTAATATTATCCTCTGTAAAAATCAAACAGGCACCGCTTGGAAAAGAATTTTGCTATTTGGATGCTGTTAGAAAATTCTCCCTGTTTTTTTTATTTTTTTTTATTTTGGTGCAGGTTCTTAAAATAAATCACTTCAACCTTTCCAGCCTGGTAAATATGCAATTATCAAATACAATTTTCCTTTATTTGGAATCGCTGGGTGGCAAGAAACTCCTGTTATAGATGTTAAACTTTCACCATCTGCCCAAAGGTTATCTAAATTCATCCTCCAAGTTTAGATTCCTACACTGACACTCACCTTAAAAAGAGTCCAGCTCTTCCCAAAGTTTCCAGCAGCCAAAATTCGTGCTGCAGCATCTTTAAAAATCCGGGATTTCTCTCCTGGTGGGGTTTTGGCCTGGGGAAATCTCTGTCCCTGCACTGGTCAAGGGCTGGAGCTGGGCAGGGATTGTGCCCTCCTTGGGAACAGAGCTGCAAATGGAACACAACAAATGTTACCCTGCCAAAAATAACCCCAGCCCTCCACTACAAAGCTCAGTTATTGCAGAGAACCCCAAGTTCAAATCCAGGTTGTCCAGCAGGGCTAAAGGCACATTTATTAGGGGTCACTTGTGGCTGGGTGCACCAGGATTTCTTCCCGTGGCAGGGAATTTTGTCCTCAGTCTCACTGTGTTATGCAAAAGTGCAGAATGTTTTCTTTTTATTCAGTATATTCATTTTAACCCTAATATTCTTTATATTCTGCTGTGTGTATGAAGTGAGTTCATTTGAATGGCTCTGGAAGAGAAATAGTTGATTTTTTCATATGAGATCATCTCATTGAAATACCCAAGGTAGGGGGAGATTACATTTTCCTCACTTTATCTATTTCCAAAACTTTTCTTTTCCTTTCCCATTAATTCCTGGGCTAATCTCCTTTCCCTGGCATGGATTAAATCCACGAAGGAAACCAAACTGTAAAATTTGGGTGGCTTTTTCAGGGGACTCTTGTCCCCAGCTCTGCCTGGAGGGAACACCCAGAGCCAGACCTGAGGCAGACCTTGGAGGAGCTGGGCACATGCTCCAGGAAAGCTGGGATTTGTTGGGATTTGTTGGGATTTGTTGGGAAAATCAGCCCTTTTCTCCCTGCTGCACCTCCCACTCCCCACCTGATTGGCTTTTCCAACACAAAAGGCAAAAAGGAGAGTTGGGATCCATGGCCAGAGCTTCACTGGGGGGGAAAAAAAACAGGAGAAAAAAAGGGAAAAGCAGCAAGAGCTACCCCTGAAAAAAACTCCAAATAAATCCCCACTATAAATCTGATTTTGGCCCTCCTGAAAGCCCTGGAATGGGGCATGGGGATGGAATTCCATGGCACCTGTGTGCTGTAAATTACAAATATCCCAGAGCCAACCTGCTCCTTTTGGAAAAGAAACTTCTGGACAAGCTTTAAGAAAGCAAATTGATAAATGCAGCAGCAAACCAACAGTTTTGTTTGTGGAAAAAGGCAGATTTTTATTTTTATTTTTTTTAAATGAGTGCTGCTTTTTAAACAGGAATTTCAATTGTATCCAATATATTCAGGGGGATTGAAAGAGAGCCATGGATTTGCCAAGATGTGGGGTTGGAAATGTTCCCCCCCACTGATTGATCCCACAGCTATTGTACCTTGTGAAAACCTGATGAACATACACCCAGTGGCAGAAAATCCATCAGAGGCAAACAAATCAATCAGCATCAGCCTGTATTTGCCTGGAATTCTAAGATTGCAAATAAAAAGTTTCAACCTGTACATTAAGGTCTTTATATTTCTGATAACTTTATACTGAGTGTATTTGGCTTCATTATTAATTTTATAATATCACTGACCACAAGATCAACAAGGTTTTGGTACGTGGGACAGCCAAAAATACAGAATATTTTTGTCAGTAACAACCTAATACAAAGCTGGCATTTTAGAGATTTATATCCAAAAGAATATAGAGGGAAATATGGAGAAATAAAACCTCTAAAGACCTAACATTGGGGTTTGGGCTGTGGGTGGTTTCCTTGCAAACCACAAAGCAGAAATGCCCTGTCCAGGAAAATCGATCACTACGGAATGCATTGTGTGCCTGAGCAAAAAGCTGTTTGCAGCCATTTCATCCTTCTGCCCCGAAATTCAGGCAAATAAGAAACACAACTGTGAAATAATTCCCATTCTTTCCCACCCCCTGGTTTTAACCCCAATGTAGTTAGGCCTATAAGTAAGTAAATAAATAAATATATATATATATATACATATACACACATGCACTCTATCCTAGCTTTAAAGAACAACTCTCTGAGGATTTCTGTGCTTGAAAGAATTGGAAGGAATGAGAAGGAAAAGGGAGATACTGACTGAGAATCCAAATTACCTCAGCAGCAGCAGCAGCAGCAGCATTATTCTGCAGGGTTTCCTATGGAACGTGTGCTGCCATATTGCTAGGCCCAACTCCTCGGGAAGGTATTCTGGAAGACAAAATATTTATGGATATTTTCATGGCATATTTTCAAGGAATGGATGCTGGTTTCCTCACACCCAGAGGCTACAGCTTTAGGAGCAAAAAGGAACAGCCAAGCTCCTACGAAAGAAATTACTCCTCCCCTCCCAATATCTTCATTTTTAATTTTTTTTTTTTTTGGATGATTATTTTCCATGTTTCACCTTGGATCAACCCACCCGCGCTCTCCCCTCCGTGGAAATAAAACATTCCTTGTAACACAACCACTCCAGAAGTTTTGCCAGTCCTGTTCCCACCAAAACCACTGAGGAAAAGAAAGAAACGGGGAGGCAAAGCCTTCCCTGGCAGTTAGAAACCCGCACCAAGTCCTCAAAGTGATTAGTTCTCATCTCCAGACCCTAATCCCAAAAAAGTGCAGCTGGAGAAAGCAGAATCAAAGAGGAGCATCGTTACCTGCTTTGGAGGAGCTTCACCAAGCAAAGCTTTTTTAAAGCTTGTTGACTCTTTTAACACTGATACAAGGAATAATTATTTCTCAGTGCCGACGCGATTGTTAAAAGAGGAGAAGCCCTGGCTTGTGGTGGCTCCGTGGATGCTATTCTTTTTGCACCACAGCAGGATTCTTGGCTGCCAGTCCAAGCTGCTTTCACTTGCCAAGTTTTAAGATGCCGGTTTTGCCTTTCATTTTATTGTTCCTTTCGCAACGTTAAAGAGCGACTTAAAAAAAAAAAAAAAAAAAACCAAAAAAACTAAACCCCCCCCCCCCCAAAAAAAAAAACCCCATGCACAGCTGCTATCGGGGAGGGGGGGGGAATTATTTGAATTTTGCACAAGAATGGAGATGAGGAAGGAGAGCGCTGTGATGTAACCACAACGACACCCACAGAAATATTCCCAATATTGGGGGGGGGGGACGGGCCGGCTCCGATGCTGGAGACACCAGGGCAGAATGAAACCTAAAACCAGGCAGAGCCACGAGCAACCAGGGCAGGGCTGGAGGCTGATCCTTCTCCCCCCTCTCTGCACCAACACCTCGATTTTTAATCCACTTCAGGCTCTTCCTCCCCACGGAGGATTTCACGCAGGGGTGCAGCTTGGGGAGCAGCGTCCTGACAGAAGGATTCTCTCCCAGCACACCCCACCCCATTTCCGTGATAGGATTCACCCGGTCCCAAACATCCCGGCCCTTCTTGGATGCGATGCCACCGGGAAGAAGCTCCACGGAAAAAGCTCCCATCCCAACTCCCTGCTGGGTCCTCCTCCAAACACATTCCTTCAGCGTAAGCCACTGAATTCCACTTTTAATTTATTTTTTTTTTTAATAATTTGTCAATAGATCAATTTTGAATTTTGAATTTTTTTCTTTTTTTTTTTAAATTTTAAATTTTTAAAAATTTTTTTTAAATGTATTTCAAATTTTTAAAAATTATTTCAATTTTTAAATTTTTAAAATTTTTTTTAAAAAATATTTCGATTCTTAACATTTTTTTTTTTATTTTTAAAAATTTATTTCCATTTTTAAATTTTTTTTTTTTTTTTAAATCACTACCATTTTTTAAACCCCCAACTTCACCACCCAGGAGCTGATTTATTTCATTTTCCTTGACGTTGCAACAAAACTCCCAAGACTGGTGCCAAGACCCGAGCGCACTTAAATGAGCAAACAGCAACAACAACAAAAAAAAAAAAAAAAAAAAGAAGTTATTTGTGACCCTTCTTGGGCCAGAATATTAAAAAACATGATGGGGGGCTATGCTCTGTGTACCATAATGGAACTCGGAGCCACCACTGGGTGCTGCAGATGTTGGAGGGACCCAAATTCCAGATGTGGGCAGGGAAAATGAAAAATCCCCGCTCAGCTCCCTGTGAGCAGCCAGAGCTGCACACACAAAACCCTGCTGGCCACAGCTCCTTTTCCCCGTGCAGAGGTGCCCGTTTATCCCCAAAAATGGGAGCTGCCAGCAGCTGTTGGCTGTGCAGAGCTCGGCAGAAGCAGGAGATGAATTTCATCCACCCCCAATTTCATCTCAGAAGGGAAAAACCCGGCCCCGACTCCGAAGTTTCTGTGCAAAACCCACCAAGTCTCCAACAAAAGCAGCGCGGATTAATAAAAGGGGGAAAGAAAAACAGAAGCTTTGTTCTAAAGTGGAAGCAGAAGATGTGAAATTTCAAAATCAGATGGCTCGGGCTGTGATTTCTTTCATTTAAATGAACTGATCTGTTGCTAAACTGCTGCTCTGGTGCCAAGAAACTTTAACTCCTTCGGCTCAAAGCCTGCTGCGTCCTGCTCTTTCCTCTCTCCTCCCAAGCAGGCAGCGATTAAATCACAGGGGAGAAGTGAAAAAGGCAGTGGGGAAGAAAAAAAATCTGAGAGAATAAAAAGGATGGAGGGGGGGGGGGATGAAAATCACACGGAGCACAAAAGAGCCCCCGGTGCTGGGGGAGAATTTGTGCGGGACAAACAACGAGGATGTGGCTCCTGCAGAGTTCCTGAAACTTGGAGAGGAGGCAGAAAGGCCTTGGAGCTCCCCAGCTGCACCTCCAGCAAGAACCACGGGGAAAAAGCCACCAGGAGCAGGGCAAGCAGCAAGGAAAAATCCCCAAATCCCTGAAATCCCTGAAATCCCTGAGCTAGTTCATGGCAAACATTCACTTACCGAGAATGCCAAAGCCATTTCCAACAGAACCGCCCCCCCCTTCCCTACACGTGTGAAAAAGTAAAAAAAAACATAAAAAAATAAAGCTCTCAAAACCAGCCCTATAAAATAGCTGCTTTGGTAAAATTTGGGTGGAAGTTCCTACTGCTCTTCCATTTGGTTTTGGGGTTGTTTTGCCCACTTAAAAAAAAAATAAAATTTTGAATTAAAAAAAAAATTCAAATTGAAGAGAGACGTGTTGTAATTAGAGGCAATTCCAGGGGAAAAATATTTATGTATAGAACAAAAAAAAAGGAAAAATGAAAAGAAAAATATATTTCTATATCTCTGTATCTCCCACTTTGCAGTTCTGCTGCAGTTCCCCCTGAACTGCTGCTGCTTGCTCCAATCTGCTGCCTGCTTAACAACGGAATGACAGGCAACATCTGTTTGTATAGAAGCCAAGATCAAGCCTTCAAAATGTTTTTTGGCTCAGCTTCTTCTTTTTTTTTTTTTTTTTTCCCTTCTTTTTCTGCCCCCTCCCCTTGGAAGAAAAAAAAAATATATATAGAAGCAAAAGAAAAAGTAAAAGCACCCAGGAAGATTTTGAAACAACTCAAGTGAGGCTGAAACTCTTTTCTCCTTGGGTTATTTCAAGGTAGAGGACTTGGAGGAGAACTCTGCTTCTCTCCACCCTCCTCCCCTGCTCTCCCCACCCTTCAGCCTCTCTCTTGCCCCATGCTATTAATAAAGTATCACACAAACTGGGGAAAAAAAAAAATAATAATCCAACGTACCTTGATCCCTAAAAGGCCACTCCCTCCTATGGGAAGGGAGGGGGTTCTTCAGGAGGCAACTAAAAAAAAAATTGCACGGGGAGGGGAATATGGGATTCAGGGACAGGCTTGTCACAATCCTCTCACCCTGGTGGGTTTTGGTTGTTTTTTTTTTTTTCCTCCTCTCCTCCATTTTACAGACTGTTAAATATATTGTTTGCAAAAATCAAAGGGGTTGTTATGAAATTTAAAAAAAAAAAAAAAAAGGAAAAAGATGTGAGTGATTAAAATAAATAAATAAGTCAAAAAAAAAAAAAAAGAAGAAAATTTTTAAAAAAATCAGCCCGGCTCCAAATACAATTCCAATGAGTAACAATGTCAGGCTAGTGCCAATTCTGTGGCAAATCGGGAGAAAGCACAATAATTCCACATGCTGAGATGTGAACAACTGGAAAGGAACCAACTCTCGGGAAGTCACAATGAAAACTATCCCAGCGCCCCCAGCCCCTCTGCCATCCTTTTCGGAGGGTATGGGGGGCAATCTCTCCAGGGGGAGAGGGGGGAAAAAAAAATAAATTAAAAAAAATTAAGCCACTAATTTAACAAAAGGAAAAGGCAAAACAACACCAAGACCATCAACCGAAGAGGTTTAAAAACTCGGGGAATGTTTTATTCGCTGGAGATTTGGGACAACGCTGCTGCATGCACATGTATGAAAAAAAATAATAATAATAAAAAAAAAATTAAAAAAAAAAAAAATCAGACAAGTTGCTAAGGAGACTTGTGTAAACTGGGAATCCAGGCACATTTCTGGCCTTTCCCCCCATATTCCATCTCGTATTCCGATCACGCACCACTGCGGCACGATTGCACCAATGCACTGCATTAATCTTGGCCTTAAACGGGGCTGCCTGGCAGAGCAGAGCGGCTCTGTGGATCATCTTTCAAACTTAACAAGTTAAAGGCAGCCAGGGTGGCGGTGGGTGGGGAGGGCTTGGGGGGGGGGGGGGGACCTCACTGCTGAATATAAAATATAGGAGCCCAGCTTAGTAAGGGAATTTTAAAGAGGAAGTGTTATCCGGGCAGATACAGAGCGCTGCGAGGCTCTTCTCTCTCTCCCAGTTCTCCTGACAAAATCCCCATTCCCTGGCAGATGTCTGAATCCCTGCCAGATCCAACAATGTCCGACCCACTCGCTGCCACCACACACTCGGGCTCGTTCTCCCAGCACGCTGGGGTCATGTATCCATATTAAAAATTCTTTTTTTTTCCTCCCCCTTTCAGTGCCTGTTCCCAAAGCAGACACTTGGATGTAATATTTTCACCTTCCACTTTTAGGAAGGGGCAGATCAAATCAAAGCCTGAGCTATTTGTGCGTGGTGCCTCTGCTGACCTTGTCTAGGACAGGATTAAACTTGGTGGGGTTTGCTTTTTTTTTTTTTTGCTGTTTCTTGCTTTGGGTGCAGGACATCCATCTCTTTCTTTAAGCCCTCCTTCCCACTCTTCCCATCTCAAATCCTCTCCTGCTGATGGACAGCTCAGTGGGATCATTCAACACCTGCTTTTCCTGCTCCTTTTGTGCCCTGCACTGGGGGAGATGAGGATTTCCATCCTCACACGAGGAACCCAGGAATCCACAAAACCAACACGGGAAAAGCCAATTTCATGGGCTGGGCCTTGGAGCACTGTCCCACTTCCAGCTCCCAAAGAAAAGGGGCTGGAATGAGGTGGGCTTTAAATCCCATCAAACCCAACACCAGGCTGGGATTGTCCTGGAGGCAGCACATCCCATCACAGGAACCCAAAGTTCCCTAAGGAGCATCATCTTTGCTTTCTAGCCAGGACAAAAGCACAGGAGAGGGAACTCCTGGTCGATGTCACCCCAGCCAGAAGTATTCCATGAGATCAACATTTGACTCACCTGATTGCTTGTCTTGGTTTGGGAGAAACCACCTAAAAAGAAAAACACCAAACAAACAACTTAAAACTGTTCACTTGAGATTTGGCTTTTGCCCTAACAGTTAAGGAAAAAGCAGAAATCATCACAAAAACGTGATTTTTGAGTGTTTCTCTGAGTTAAACGAAAGCACACAAAATAAACATTCCCCTTTCCTCAGCTTGCTCAGTTCCTTTGTACAGGCTGGTGTTTCTGTCCCCAACCCAAAATATGGGGCTGAGGCACCTGCCCTGAGATCCACACACCCAGAAACAGCTGGAATGAGGTTTAAGGGGTTGCTGAGGCTTATGAAGCACAAACAGCTGGAATGAGGTTTAAGGAGTTGTTGAAGGAGTTTTTCCACTTCCACAGCAGAGCCAGGAGAAGGGATCGAGCTCCTCACGTCCATGAAAAACCAGTTATTTGAACTGCAAACCAGTGCAGTTGGTAGCTGAGCAGACACTGAGCTGGACTGGGGCTGCCCACAGCCCTGGGGGAGCTGCCTGCACACCTTCCCCAGGTGAGCAGGGAGAACATTCCCTGCCTTTGCCTCTAGCCAGCCACCTGCAGCTCTGCTTTGAAAGCCTCACCCTGCAGAGCAGAACCCTCCAGCTCTGCTGGGGCTGGCTCTGCCCTTCCTCCCACCCTAGAAAAGCACCGAGCCCTGAGCAGCCCCAAAAAGGAACCTTGGGCAGAGCTCCCGGCTGCACAGAGAACGTGAAAGGCACCACCGTGGAGAGAAAGCTGAGAAGTAACGAGAAAAATCACTTGGAGCTGGCAGGAATGAGGTTTGGTTGGGATATGGGGCAGGAATTCTCCCCTGGGAGGGTGGGAGGATCTGGCACAGGGTGCCCAGATTTGCTGTGGATCCCTGGGAGTGTCCAAGGCCAGGCTGGACCTCGGGGCTTGGAGCAGCCTGGGATGGTGGGAGGTGTCAGGCTGGAACTGGATGAGCTTTAACGTCCTTCCCACCCAAACCAGCCCATGATTCTCTGCTGAAAAGCAGAAGAAGCAAAAAGATGCTAAACCCCACCGCAGGTGCAGCACCAGGTGCTTCTCACACCTTCCCACTTGGGGGCCCTGAGGTTTTCAGAGGAATTTCTGGTGCTCAGGTTGACTGAGTGGGGCTGCATTTCTGTTTTGGTTGCCAATTGGAAGCCACTATTTTTACCCACAAGTCCCCCAAAGCATCTGTTTCCCCGGAGCTATTTAAGATTTCCTTTTATGAGACCTACTTAGAGGTGTATCATTATTTTTAAACATTACTCCTTGCAGCCACGCTCCCAATTTTATCATCATTACAAGTGTCATTATCCGTGCATTTGAACTGGGTAATTTAAAAAAGAGATAAAATCCTTGCAGGGGGGCTGAGAGTTGCTTCCCCTCCAGCAAATATTTTGGGATAATACTTGGAACAAGCTGGTACATCCCAATGAAAGGAAAAGAAATCTCAAGTTATCTAGGAAAATAACCAAAATTGTTTGGAAGCATTCACAGAGTAGACAAATCCCCAGAAAAAGAAAGAGAAAACCCCACTTCAGTGTTCCTATAACGTGATGTAAGTGTAGCTAAGGTCATTTAATTTAGGGTTATTTAATTTAGGGAGCCTTTTCCCTTCTGCAGTTTCCCCCTCGGATCCACCTTGCTGCTGCTGATGGTCATGGGGGTTTTTATTATCTCATCACCCAGAAAATGAGATTTTCTCCAATCTCTTCCTACAGCAGGTAAAACACACCTTTTTTTTTTTTTTTTTTTTTTGTTACAAGGTACCACAATTTGGGCAAAGAAGCATGAGACCCAAATTCTCCAGCTCTGGGTTCAAGCTGAGGCAGAGCAGGAGTGATGCCTGAAACTGCAAACACTCAGATGTGCCATGAAACACCACCAGGATATTCACAATTTCCATTCCAGCCCAAATCTGACCTTAGATTGCTGATATTTGGAATAAAAGCTGACTCACTGTCCCAGAGCAGGTTAAATGCATCAAGTGGTGAAGAGAATCACGTGTTATCAATGGTTTGGATTAAATTTTTCCCCACCTGTCAAGGCTTTCTAGCAAGAAATTTTGACCTTTACATGCCCTGTTCTAGAAATCCCACAGAGAAAAGAAAATTTACCTTCTTCCAGCTTGAATTTAAAGCTGGGATAAAGAAACCAAAGGCAAATTTTAACACTAAAACAGGACAGCTGATCCTGGAAACTCTTCTAGACACACAAACCTACAAGCACAAATTAATTTAGCAGAAAATAGATGTTGACACACCTAAAGAAAGGGTCCAGAAATTGTCCTTCCTTCTTCCCTTCCCTCCTCATGTGTCAGGAACCAGCAGGAGAAAACTTCATCCATCAGATTGTGACAGTGGCAAAGAAATTCTTCAATTAAGTGGATTTCAATGACCAGAACTTACTAAATACAACTTTGGAGGTACAAAACTCAATTCTTCTGTGCACTGCTCATTTCAGCATTGCTCACACACACTCATTCTTTGGGAATCTAACCAAACTAAGGGGAAAAATGCACCCTGCCCTCATTTCCTGGCATTGCCACCCCTCAGTCACTGATCCAGGCTGTTCCTCACTGTCACCAGGCTGAGGAAAGGACATTAATTCACATCCATCAAACTTTCTGAGCTTTTTGTCCTTAATTTCCAACTTTAAACTGCTTCCACCTTGTAGGCACATGAGGCTGGAACACTCATTTAACCCTAAATTTAAGGATTTCAGAAAATGGCCTGGATTATCAGTTCAATTCACTACTGGGATGTCACAGGCAGAGGATGGGAGCAAAGGGAGCAGCAGAGATTTCCAGGAGCTGACAGAGGAAGTGAACAGCAGAGCCTGGAATTTATCTCACATCTCTTGGTTCCAGTCCAAATGTTTAAACCCCAGCATCATCCTTCAGGCCTGGGACACCAAGAGAGAACCTTTAACCCTCGTGCTGGAACCTCCTGTAGCATTTTCCATCATTTTTACAGCAGAGGTGGCTCCAGGCTGGGGCAGGATCCTGATCTGGCTGCTCAGGGTTGGAGGAACCCAGCCCAGTTTGGGATTTAATCTCAGATTTGGGTATTCCATGACACATGTTTCTGCCTCAGCTGGGCTAGGGCAGTTTGCTGGGAGCTGAAAATGGGGAGGGAGAACTTTCCAGATACAATTTCTCACTGGGAGGGAGAAAATCCCCTGCCATTCCATTCCAATAGGGGGAAAAAATTGAATGGAAACTTTAGGAAAACTCGATAGTAGTGAGAATAATTTAAAAATAATCTTTGAGCACAAACTGACGTGTTTTCATGGAGATTTGTGGGGAGGGAAGAGGGAAGTGTTCTACTGTCCAGAACATTGCTTTAGTGGGTATAAAAACACTGCCAGCCCTTCAACACAGAGCCAGCCAAGAAATAAAATGAAGTATATGGTGATTATCACAGCAAGAGTGATGGCTGGGGAGGGGAAGGAGGAGGAGGAAGAAGAGAGTGTCCATTTCTCAAGCTAGGTCACATCAATCCATGGCTGGGCTGCCAGGGATAGCTCCACGATTTCCCATGGTTTGGAGTAAGTCAGCAGCAATTTTGGGAATGTTGAAGAGCTGACAGCACCCAATGAATAAATGGAGGGGGCTCCTCCTAACCCAGTGAACCAAGGAGATGGATCAGCAACCTTGGGCATGATTCACTCACATCCAAAAGCCAAAGAAACCTGGACACAGCCCCAGCAGAATGGATCATTCCTTCCCAGCACCCTGCTCCAGGCTGGAGCAAAACTCATCTGTGCTCTGCTCCATCCAACACATCTGGAGGCATGGAATTAACACACAGGAGACTTTACCAACATTGCCACTGCAACCCAATCTCCAACCCAACCCACCCTGCTCTCCTCCCAGCATTATTTACACTATTGCAGGGCAGCTTCTGGGAGCAGAATCCTATTTTGAGACCCCCAGAGCACAGCCCTGGCCTCCCAAACATGAAGGTTCACTTCCTTGCAGCCTGTGAGAGCAGCACTGCAGGATTTCACCTGCCTCTTCCTACTGTGTTACCACATCACCACTGAAATCTCCTGTAGATCGTCAAATCCTCCCTTCCTTAATCCCACTGGAAGAGTTTTGCTCTAAACCACTCTCTGGATGTGGGAATTTTTCCCAAAATGTTGGTTTTTTCCCCCCATACCCTGCTGCTGTTTTCATGGAACAGCCTCACATGCTGCTGGCAAACTTCCTGGAGGTGCCCTGATGTGTCTCTTTGCAGGTCTAAGACCAACACAACTGGATTGAAAACACCAAAGCTGCAATCAGCCCTCACAGTTGAAAATCGAGATTTTTTTTTCTCTTTCTTTGCTCTTGTGGGATTGTCCCTTAAAGGCCCTAAAGGCTCAACATTTACAAGTTGGTCCCGTTTGTCAGAGCAACATCCACTGCTGCAAACTGGGACAGGGAGAAGTGCTCCAGCCCTGCTTTGGATTAGGAAGAGACAGGAGAAATAAAAAGAGCATCTGACACCAAAATAAAACTGTTTTGGTCACTGCCATCTCTCTTATTCTAAATGAAGCAATTGTGGGCTCCGTTTGTTTTGCATTCATAATTAGCAGACGGAACAGATGGCAAAGGCGTCACTTAAAGCCACACGTCCGACAAAATAACCCAGGCTGCCAGTGCTGGTTTTCACTGGGAACAAGGAAGACTTTCCCCTCTTTTCCCATTGAAGAGAAGAGCCAGCGAATGTCTGCATGGAGCAGGGGATTCACTGCAGAAAGGAATCCATTGTGTCAGGAGCTGAGGAGGAGGAGGGAGGGAGGGAGGGAGGGAAGGGCGGCAGCAAATGGATTGCAGAGGGAACAGAAAACAGGGCTGGAAACGAGCAGAGCACTGCCAGGAACACAACGAGGGGCTCAAAGAAACCTTGAGTCCCTCCTGCCTTCAGTTCGGGGCTTCAGGCAGAGGCTGGAAGGTGTGTGTTACATCTCAAAGACAGCTGGGTTTACCCATGAAGGTGTTGTCCCACAGCCATACCTGACTCATCCTCTCCAGACCTGTAAGGACACTGGAAATCTCACAGAGAAACTGCTCAGAGCACAGCTCCCCATCCCTGGAAGTCCTCAGGGCCATGCTGGGCCAGGCTTGGAGCAACCTGGGATAGTGGAAGGTGTCAGGGTGGAACTGGATGAGCTTTAAGGTCCCTTTCCACCCAAACCTTTGTGGGATTCTCCAAAACAAGCAAAGCCCAAAGTTTAAAGCACCACCCACTGCATGAGGATAGTTCAGAGTTACAACCAGGACAGAATATTTTACCAAAACTCATAAACCACATCCTATTTCCTCCAGCACAGGGAAGGAATGGGATAAAAAACCCCAAAACAAACCACATACAACTTGCTGAGAACGGGGAGGTCCTGGTCTCTTGGGTAGTGCTGTCCTTGTGACCCAGAACACGGGTAGGTGACATCTCAGAGGAGGAACTTCCCTGAGGAATCTCTCCTGGCAGCTCCAAGTCCCTTTATTCAGTTCTCCACCTCCTACAAAGCCCCAACAATTTAATCACTGTGAGCATCCCCTGCTTCTTGGAAAGGAGAAGGAGCCACAGATACCAACAGACTTTTGTTCCTTTTATAGCCCCGTGAGGTTGCTCTGCCAGCCCTGCTGCTGGGGCTACCAGAGGATTTTGGCACGGCATTCCCTGAGCACCAGGGATAAGCTGTTCCCAGCGTGGATGAGTGAGCAGGATCAGGGCACAGCCACAGAATAAACACCAGGAGCCTCACCTCGCTCCTGTGCCAGCAATCCCCAGCCTCCAAACCTCCTCCCTGATGCCATGAAAATGCTGATCATGGTGAGTCCTGTCCAGCTCTTGCTCACAGGCTGCCTCACAGGCTCCAAGTGTGGTGCTGTGTGTGCCTCCATCGCTGCTGCTGCTGCTGCACAGCGCAGCTCTGCCCCTCTGCTGATGGAAAGAGATCAATAGGGATGCTCAGGAGCAGCCTGAGCCATGGAACAGGGCCTGCAGAAAGAGCTTGGGTCTCCAGGAACAGCACAGGCTGAGGGGAAAAGGAGAGGGCCCTTGGGAAGAACAGAGAGCAGAGAAGGAGAGGTCAATCCCCATGGAAGGAGGGAGAGGCAGCACCCAGAGATGCTACTGCCACCTCTCCCTCCTGGTCAAAGCTAAAACCCCTCTGAAAAGCCAAAACCTCTCTGGGGAGGAGCACACTGACTAAACCCCATCTGGTTCCAAACTTTTTGGACACTTTGCTCCTCGTTCCTCTCTGTTTTCACTTCACTCCTTGCTTTATTTTCACTTCTCTCTGCAGCTCCCTGACCTTACATGAGCTGAGGGCACTGTGCTCTCCCCCAGCATCCCTGTGCCTTCCCCCCAGCCTCAGCCTCAAATGACATTTGCTTTTTGTTCCCTCCACTGGCTCTAATCTCCCTGCTTTTCCCAGCTGCTCCAGAATCCAGGAGAAGCAACCCCCATGCCAAGGCATCAGGACATGGAGCCCAGGGCTGGAGCTTAATGCCCTCCAAATTTAGAGCTGGACATTGCTCCACTGGCACAACATTTCAACATCCAGCAACTGCTCTAAATTAGGAAACTGCTCCACAAATGCTCTTTTGCCTGGGCTGGGAATTCCCTGTGGATGTGTAAGAGAGAGAATTGCTCTCAGGGCACCTTTCCTGCAGCTCACAAGGTCCATCAAAACCTCACAGGGGCTGCAACTCCTGCAGCTGAAATCCACACCGTGAGAAATCTGCTCCAGGGATCTCAGGTTTGCTCCACAAAATGCTTCAGGACTCCTTCCACAGAAATTTGGGGATCTGAGGAGGGCAATTCCCAAAGTGTCAGACTCAATTCAGCCCCCAGCCCTGTGCATAAAATGCAGTGACCATGGCAAATCACACAGAAAGTCCTAGGAAAAGATCGATTTCTGCAGCAGAGCAGTGGGAAAAGGCCAAGGAAATAGAGAAGGATGTGCTGCCCATGCAGGCTCTCAGTGCCTTAAACACCCAGCTGGCAGCTGCTGCCTCGTGTCCTATCTCACCACAGCTCCTGCTAAAGTTGTGGGGAAAGAAAGATGGAATGTTCACATTTTCAGTGGGAAAAAATGGATTCAGTGCACTGAAAATTGCTCACTGATGTGCTGCCTTTGGCACTCACGTGGCAAAGGGGAAACCTGGGCTCTGCTCCCTGCTCCTGCATTAAAGAATCAGCAATTAAAATGCACAATCAGCCCTCAAAGCTATAATCTCATTAAAAATAAGGACTGAAATTAAACAATTCACCAGCCCAAGCCTTCCTGGGGCCACTGGAGGAAGCAGGGAGGGGAATACCTGCAGTAAGAGCCTGCCTCTGTCAATAGTTGGTTATTCATGCAAAGCAGAGCAGCATTAATGCAGGCTGGCACTGAGCACACATTCCTGCAGGCTGGATGGGGTTCAGATTTCCTGCAGGAAGGGAGGGAAGCAGAGCAGGCTGCCCCACATCTGAGGTGACCACACGGAATGCTGAGACACACGAAGGGAGAGGAGCTGCTCCTGCTCCTCCCACTCCTCCCTCGTCCTGCCAAACCCGGCCTGAGAGCTCTGAATTTCCATCAAATCCCAGAATGGTTGGGCTTGGGAGGGGAGCTTAAAGCTCCTCTAATTCCATGCCATGACACCTTCCACTATCCCAGAGTGCATCCAGCCTGGCCTTGGACACTTCCAGGGACCCAGGGGCAGCCACAGCTTCTCTGGGAATTCTATTCCATCCATTCACCACCCTCACAGGAAGAATTTTTTCTTAATGTCCAATCTAAACCCCCCATCAGTTTGAAGCCATTCTCCCTTGCCCTATCACTGTCCTATTTTGCTTTAGGAAGGCTCAAAGCAAAGATTTTAAGCTAAGCCTGAAGGGGAAATAAAATGGTTTGAGGAGAAAAGATTTTTGTCTCTTAACTTCCCAGTTCTCCCACTGATCCCCCTTCCTCCCTCCTCCTTAAAACACCCCCAGGAACAGATTAACCCCACTGAAGTCAAGGAGAGTTTTAAGCCTTCTGAAAATTGGTGCACTTCTAATTTAGGCTCTGAGTTCAGCAGATTAACAGGTGCCAACACATCCATGCCCAGGGCTTAACAGAGGCCAAAAAAAAAAAAAAAAAAAAGGCATTTGGACGTGGATTTCAGCAGGACAAAGCTGGGGTGGCAATTCCAGGAGCACACACAGCTCCCAGGCCATGGTATCGTGGTATCTCCACCCACAGGTGTCATTCACTGTGCTCACATTGAATATTCCACTTGGGGACATCAGCCCTGTGTCACCTCTTTTAGGACACCCAGGAGGGACAGAGCTGGATCTCAATGCTCCCACAGAACATAAAATAACAAAAAATCTTTGCCTTGAGCCTTCCCAAAGCAAAAGAGCACAGTGATGGTTCAAGGGGCAATGGCTTCAAACTGACTGTGGGTTTAGATTGGAAATTCTTCCCTCCCAGTTTCAAACCCCCAAAGGTGAAGCCTGGGTGGTTCACCTGTGAGCTGTTGGAATTCTCCAGCTTTTCCTGCTGGGAATCCTGCCTGGGATGTGCAGCACCTCTCCCGTGCACAGCATTAATTCCTGCCCACAGGCAGGGCCATAAAATGTGCACTTACCTCATTCCTCATCATGATTTCAGGAGAATGAGGTAACCAAACTCACCCACCAATAAATTCATCATCATTATCCAAGCCGAGTTTCCCCTTTTTTTAACATTATTAAATTAAACTCATTCACATCCCTGCTCCTGTGTTAATGCATTTATGGCACTTTGAATAATGATTCCCTCGGTGTGAACTCCAACTTGAATTCCAAATATCCCACTGGAAAGACTCTGACTTGGGAGGAGATGTCTGCAGCCTCTTCCCAGCTCCCAAAAAAAAAAAAAAAGGATGTGCACCAGTACCAAGCTCCTGGAAGCTTCCACACTGGAAGTGCCCCAGGTGTGTTTTCCCCACAACTTTTCCAAGCTCAGGCAAGTAGGCTGAGCATAGGAATGGCTGAGCCATTCCCATAGCCTCTGGAAAATCAAGATTTTTTTATTGATTTTTGCATCTCTGAGGATGCTGGAAAGCCTCAGAATTCCGTGTTTCCAGTGATTTTGACAATGAGACTCTGATATTGCTCGGGGCTTGTAAAATATAGATTTAAAAGTGCCCTGATCTCAACATTAAGACATATTTTCTGATAACAAGTTGAAGGTTCCTTTGGCTTCCTTTCATCCTGTTCCTATAAATTCCTGCTCAAATTTCTCGAATCCCTTCAAATGTACCCATGCAGCAATAAATAAAATAATAATTAATAGGTGACTCAGATAAAGGCTTTCCATCTCAGGGCAGAGGAAAGTATTAGCTAATTAATCATCAAGTTGGCATTAACTTATCTTTTGGCACCTCCAAGAAAATGTAAATCTGAAACGAGTTGGGGGTGGTGGTGTGTGGAAACAAAGGAAGAAGAAGCCAACAATAGTTTTGGAAATGGATGACAAAATCCAAATGTTCTGCCTGACTGCTGCTAAATTAAGCTCCGTGTTATCAGTGCAAAGATTAGGAAAAGAGAGATTTTCCTCTGAACCTTAAGTCACACTTTGGAGCTGCACAGGACACGACAGCAGGAGTGGAGACAAGAGGATTCACTCACCCTGAAAATGAGTGGGAATAAAAAAAGGATCTGCTCAGTTCTTGGTTTCCCCCAAGCACGGTTCTGTGGAGCAAAAGAAGAAAGAAGAGCATTAATTTATTGTGCAGGAGATGAAGAAGTGATGGCCACCCTCCCTCCCATCCCAGGCTCCATCCAACCCACCTTTGCCTTCAGCTCTTTTTGCCTTTTTTGCCCTTTTTGCCCAAATTTCCCTTTTCCCCCCACTTTTAAGTGGAAAGGGCTCCAGTAAGATCCTGCCTTGAGCCAAACGCTGTTCTGGGAATTATTTTAGTGCTGAAACGATGAGGAAAATTTGTTTTCCCACCTTCCATCAGAGGCTCCCAGCTGCTGACCGAAGATGGAAGATCATCAGATGGAATTGTGTTTTCTCCAATTGATTTTTTTGGCTTCCTTTGAGCAAAACTTCCCCTTTCAGGGAGAGGTCAGCTCCACAAACACAGCACAGCCCTCGATGTATGCACCAATTAATGCTTTGTCAAATTCTGCTCGAATTAAAACCATCCCAGCTGGTTTTACCCCGAATCCAGACAAGAAAGCAGAGAGAGGGAAATGATTCCACACGTCCCTTCCTAAAACTCCAATTAATGAACATTCAGCTCAGCTCCATGACAAACGTTTTGCAAGCACCTGTGGGTGTTTCTGGGATCAAAGGAGCTGCATTCCTTCCTGCCCGGGCACAGATCCCTTCCCTGCCTGCTGGAGGAGGCAGTGGGATGGATGGATGTTGCTCCTCCAAAAAGCAATTTTATTCCCAAAGAACTGCGAATAAGGGAAAGTAGAAAGGCTCTCTCCTTCTAACAATTTTTGCCTTTAATTCAACATATCCTAACCAGCCTCCAATAACCTCCCAGGAATCATCCAAGTCTAAAAAGCAGATGGGATGAAAGCACCTGGCACAGGAAATCACGACATTCCACAAATCCAGCTTCAATACCCCCCCAAAATCAATATATTCCTCATCAATGAGTCTGCTCAGGCACAGCACAGAGCCCACAGTGCCCTTGCAATCCATCCAAATCTAAACTTGTTCCTTCCCAAGACTCTCTTCCCTTCTGTTTGCTTTTGGCCCCCAAAACGATTGAAATCCAACAATTCAGCATGTTCTGACCAAATGCATAAAAAGTCACCAGGACCTGCCTTTAGCTGCATCAAAGTCCAGCAGAAGCTGCATTTTCTCCCCCAACTCGTGCAGCCACAAAGAGTTACAAACATGGCAAAGGGAGCTGAAAGGTTTTTGGATCCCTACAGAAAAAGAAGACACAACTTTGGGTGTTGCAGGATTTTTTTTTT